GCCGAGCGTTTGCTTGAACGAAAGTAACATAAGAATAAATGAAAGACAAAGGAATACATGGATTGTCACGTCGTATTTACGTTGCAGTTCTGTGTCAAACTAACGTCTTCTATAATTAGTTTTGGCTGGTTTTCAAAGTAGAAAAAGAAAAGACTAAATGTGCAAATGAAATTCGATACCTAATATCTCTTGTGCATCGCCGAAAAACAGATCTTAAATCATACTTATAAGTAATACTTTCTCAAAAAAGAATATCAATTAATTTTGTCAGTATAAATATTAACCACTGTTTTTCCTATGCACACTTGTGTCATATTAAACTAATAAATTAGACAAAAATAAGAAAACGATTTTTTTAAAGATCGCTTCATGGAGTTTATTTTAGCATTCTTGTCTTAAAGACCTGATTCAAGTTATTGAGCATAAATGATATCGGATTCCTGACAGTCGTAGGGCGAGCCATGTTTTCCGGCGAAACTTTTCAACCTTTTTCGATTAACTATTCGGGATAGTTCACTTTGAGGATAAACAGGAAATTGAAAAAAAATCATATCCGTTTCACCGCTTTAGTGTTACATGCATATATACAATATGGAAATGTAAAATGTGTTAAACATACTTTCTAAACTTCGAATCTTAGGCTATAAGAACGTTCTTTTTATTAATTTCATTGAAGCTATCACAACTATTTAATAGAACATTCCAAAGAAAAGGGGCGAAGATTAACTCGTGGCGTTTGGCGCTAAAATTTGAATAGTGACCCACCTTTCATAATTTTAAGAGAGAAGCACTGTTTCCTTGATATATACAAGTAGATTTAGAGTAGAGGTCCCGATAGCGTAATATTTAGTGCGTTGGAATTTCATGTGGCGACTTTGGTTCAATCCCCCTTGTGTGCAAATCTTTTTTTTTTACTTTTCAGCTCGATTTTACGTTTTTTTCCTGAATCGGACGGAAGACCTCTCGTTGATCGCAACGAGTTTCATCTAGTTATTATTATTATTTTTCTTCTTCTTCTTCCTGGGTACTTTTTTGTCCGGGAATGATCTTGTAAACTGTTCGTCCGAGGTAGGTAAAACCTTTTTAGGGTAAGTAGACATGTTATGCAGATTTGCGGAATCATGGTCATTTTGCGCGCACGTGCTTGCAAGAGCGCGCACGTGCAACACTTGAAATAACCAATATAATAGATATAGTCGGAACTTTTCTATTTTTTGATAAAATGCTTTGAAACTCATAATGTAAGGATACATTAGTAGTATAGACAAGATGGCATGGTCAAAATAGCAAGATCTCACGTGCATGCACGTGCGCTTTGCTCTGATTGGCTGAAACTAAAGTCTCAATATCTTTCTTGTTTCTTGTCATAATCTTTTGAAATTTTGAACATGGTCCTACATTATGAAGATCTACAGCATGATATATTAAAATTTTAATAAAAGCATGCGCATGCGCGCGTGCTGTAATCTGATTGGCTAAAACTTTAAATGGCTATATCTCGTTTGTTTTTTGACGAAATGCTTTGAAATTTAAAACATAGTCATGCATTACAATATCCTAACATATGATATAGAAAATATTCATGAAATCACGCGCATGCACGTGTGCTGCAATCTGATTGGCTGAAACTTCAAATGGCTATAACTCTCTTGTTTTTCAACCAAACAGGATGGGATTTAGAACTTGGATAAATATAAGGGACTCCTACAAGAAGGTGTAGTCATTATGCACGTGCTTGCACGTGCGTGCACGTGAAATGAGTAAAATAAAAAATACACTCGAATGAGTGCATTTTTTAATACTTTTGGTTTAAATGCTTTGATATTATTAAAATTTTAGATAGTGTAGACAAGATAATATGGTCGTTACGCACATGAACACGCGTGCAATGCCTATTTTTTAATATATTTTGTATTTTTTTTGGAAGACCTTGATTAAGTCTAAATTCCATAAAGTATTTCTTATTTAATAGAGATAACAGGGAATATGGCACCAAAAGGGAGTTGGGGAGCGTTTGGGGAACATCTGTAACGGTCCCCGTTACAATTAGCACTAGTTATAATCAAAATCATTTGAATAAAAGGAAAAAATTTCCCCCACCATCCCCTTTTTCATTTTGGACTGCATGTTGAAAAATTTAGGTATCATGAATGAAACTGAAGAGCATTCAAAAAGACAATCGTTAAACTCAGTTCTCACTGAACAACCATTATTTTTTAAAATTAATTTATACATTTTTAAGGCTTTTCCTGCCAATTTTCCTATTCTACATATAAATAAATAATATCTGTTCTCTTTCATACCTTTTATTCTTATGGAAAAAATAAGTTCAAAAACTGATCACAAGAAAATGATTTTTGAAGACAAAGTGCTGAAAGATATATTGCAATGCAAAAAAAATATCTGAAGAGTCAAATTTTCAGAAGCCTTAGGATTTTTTTTAATTTTGAAACTTGAGCAGGTTTAATAAGAATCAATATGAGAAAAAAAAAAGAGAACTCATCAATTTTCAATCACAATCAACCAGTTAAATATTAATTGTCTGTCTGCAAAATAAATATCAATTTCAGTCTGCCCTAACTTCCTAACTGTCACCTTGGTAAACTTATTGCAGTTATCAATACTTGAAGTGAGGGGTTTTACAGTGCACCTTGCAGACTAGGAAACCTGCATGTATTGTTTACAAGTATTAATATATGACAAAATGGGTGTGCACCGGCCGACATTCAAAAAACAAGCAGTATCTACATGCAGTCCTGATTTTTTAAGCACACAATGCATGTTTGTCTAAAATATTAAAATTATATTCTATGAAGAAAATCTGAGAAAATCACAAGAATGGTAAGGATTAGGAGACCTTTATGGTAAAATTGTAGCAAGCTCTGTAAATGATGTTTGGCATTCAACTAAAAGTAGCCCCAGTATTTCTGGGGGTAATGCAAATATCCATGCATCACAAGGCCTGGGGCCCTAAAACTGAGACAATCTTACTTTTGATCTTCGTCCTACTTTTCCCAAAGGCATTTATAATATAGCAGAAAAGTGGGACTGCGATCCAAAGTGAGCTCGTCTAAGATTTGTGACCTCCAGGCCTGCTGCCCACTAAGCTACCTAAAGGTCAGGTGAACAAAACTAAGAGCTGTGTGTCAACCATTCAAGCAGTGAATCTAAATTGCAATGAAAATATATGCATTATTCATGCTACAAGTGTCAATATTAAATCAACCAATCTATGATTTAATTGCGAAATCAAGATCTTCAACCTGTTTTAACATATCTATGCATAATGTGCATGATAATTATTGCAACAGTCTTTTCAGTGACAAATTAATTTAGTACATGTACTTTTTCTTGCAGTCCTTTTCTAACATACTTTCTATTACTATTCAACAATTTGTCTGCCAAAATGTTCTTTGAATCAATTTTGTTTGAATAAAGACAGAAAATAATAAAAGATCATTGTTTGCATATCTGTTAATTCTACTGCCAGTAGTACATATGAGCTTTTTAAGCTTTGTTACAGCCACTAACTTCTTGCTTGAATTGTACACACCAAGCCTTGAAAAAAGTCAGCATATTTGACTTTTAAAGACTATTTACTGTCTGCTAAAGATATATCCATTTACTCACTGAGGTGCAATAGCCCAAAGGCCAGGACTCAAAAGGACACATTTTTGTTTAATCTGCCTTGTAAAGATGACCAGTCTTCCTTTACTCCTGAATTCAACCTTATAATTAAATCCATATGACAGCACAAGACCTTTGATGCAGATTTTGTTCTCTGCATGCAAGCAAAATGTTTCTCTGCTTTCTTTTTGTATTACCACTCATTTAGAATTAATAAGATCAATCTTCAAGTTGCATAAATGTCACTGACCATATCATATTCAAATGAGAGATTTTCAGAAACTTCTGCCCAAGGTTTGGCATTTCTATCCAATTTCCAGCAGCTTTCAGACTAATTAACTTTATCTCTTAAATCACTTTGTACAGATTTTTTTCCAAGGATAGCTTTACTTGACTCACTCCAATTTCACAGCAATGTTCAATCTCATTTTGCCTTATATATCAAAGAAAATCATATTTCAATTACAATCAGGAAGTAATTTTTCTGAAATAACATTCAGAGAGTATTAAAAAAACTTAAAATTTTTCCGAGTTATCTCTCTTTTAAGAGACCCATGATGGCAAGATTTCGATATCAATGAAATATATGGAAATAACGAACAGTATTTAAGCTCAAAGGTCAAAAAACAATACAAAATAGGAACAGGGCAAACACAGACCTCAAAAACATCAGAGGTGGGATCAGGTGCCATGGAGGAGTGAGCATCCCAAGTAAAAATCATGTATCATAAAGAACTTTGATAAAAAGAAATCTATGTACTATGAAGTTCTATTTTTTCCCCAATTCCTTATCTCGTAACATTTAACATCTCTTTTTTTTTTCTAAAACTAATTAACATGACTGTTTAATGAAGCATCATTCTTCATCTTCCAAATCCTTCAGATCCTAAATCCATCCTCTGATCTAAATGTGGATCTTATGTCATCCTCATGCACACAAACACACTTTCTTCCCCAGAAACCAATGGACCGTCTCGAAATCCAGTGTGATCTTCCGTGTTTTGTCTTCAAATTTACGATGAAATAACTGAAAGTCTGCCATTCATGCATACGCAATATCATTGCAGATCAATATCCCTTGGTATTGGAGTCTTGATTCAATGACACTTGCAAGCTTCCTAAATGTAATTGAACATGGACACCAACCATTTCAGAAAGGTTCCATTCACAAAAACTCAGCATCACACTTATTTTAGAAGTAACTGCTCAAGTTCTCATAAGGCACACTATCTTTTTCCTACATAAGATTGGATTTAACATTTAGTTCTTACCTTCATTATATTATCCAGCTCCATCCTTTCTCCTAACATTCCATGGTATACTCATACTTCAAAATTTAAGTTTAACTCAATTTTTAATTAACAAAGGATTACCTTATTAAGCTCTGTGTTAATTCTCTTGACGGCCTGGCTCCACCTGATTTTGGCGGGGGACTCCTGCATCTCGTGGTATGGGGTGTACTTGTACTGGTAATCCAGGGGGCCATCACTTCGCTCCTGTTCGCTTTGACGACTCAGACCACTTAGGCTTGTCTGGCTATTAATTGGACTGAAAAAAGCAATCATTACACACATTAACACAATAAACGTGAGAGAATGAATAGCTTCTGAAAGGAATGGGTTAAGTTCTCAGGAAAGTTTAAAACCCAAATATTAAACAAGTAATTGATTTGAGTCTGGATTTGGGGCTAACCAAAGCAAATTTAAGATGTACATGTTACACCATGAAATTACCATCTATTTGCTTAGCAGTTCATAGCAGCATTTGAATTGTGGGTGGTAGGTGTCATGTTTGTACAATGAATAATGACCAGATATATCTAAAGTGTTCCATTGAGGAATACACATATGACACATCATTAAAGATGTAGATAGAACTAACAGTTAAATACTGGCATTATAGTTCAAACAGCAAAGATTTACCTCTCTAAGTCCAAGAATACATGTAAAAATGGTGTATGTTGAAAAGTAGGTCAAAGGTCAAATTTAAGGGTCACCGGGTCAGTGACCTTGGTATTTTACATTGAGCCATATTTTCAAGAAGTGCACCAAGAAATGTCAATACCCTAGCTCTAACATTCTTCAAAATACATGACAGATAGACAGACCGACAGATTATGCCTGACAAAACTAGATCTGTCCAAACTGGACAAAATACCCCCCGCTGGGTTTTTCAGAAGTGAGTTTTTCCATAATAAAGATATGTATCACACATAAATTATGAAATTTTTCTTCCACTGACCTTGAAGTTCCCCAAATGACATTGGGTCAAGGTCATGACACACCCTTGGGTCATGGGCAATCTTTGTGTGAAATGAGAACCTACCAAGTTTATCAATAAAAAAGATGTAGACTGGACATGAATCATAAACTTTTTCTTCCAGTGACCTTGAACTTCCCCAAATGACCTTGGGTCAAGGTCATGACACTTCCTTGGGTCAAGGGCAATCTTTGTGTGAAATGAGAACCTACCAAACTTATCCATAAGAAAGATATGGACCGGACACAAATTATGAAATTTTTCTTCCAGTGACCTTGAACTTCCCCAAATGACCTTGGGTCAAGGTCATGACACACCCTTGGGTCAAGGGCAATCTTTGTGTGAAATGAGAACCTACCAAACTTATCCATAAGAAAGATATGGACCGGACACAAATTATGAAAATTTTCTTCCAGTGACCTTGAAGTTCCCCAAATGACCTTGGGTCAAGGTCATCACACTCTTAGGTCATGGGCAATCTGTGTGTGAAATGAGAACCTACCAAGTTTATCCATAAGAAAGATATGAACCGGACACGAATTATGAAATTTTTCTTCCAGTGACCTTAAACTTCCCCAAATGACCTTGGGTCAAGGTCATGATACACCCTTAGGTCATGGGCAATCTTTGTGTGGAGTAGTAGATTCTAATGTTCCTCCATAAGAAAGATATGGACCGGACACGTTTGCACAGACAGACGGACAGACAGACAAGGTGATTCCTATATACCCCCCCCCAAACTTCCTTTGTGGGGGGTATAATGATTTATAGAACTGTTGGATTTGTTGGTATTAAGGATCTCTAGGCAGGGGATGCTCACTCCTCCATGGCACCTGATCCCACCTCTGGATGATTTGGAGGTCCGTGTTTGCTCTGCTCCTGTTTTGTATTGTTTTATGGACTTTTGATCTGGAATACTGTTCCTTATCTCCATATGTTTCTTGCTGAGAAATTTTGAAATTGGGCATTTCTGGTATGAATTTTCATAACTGGAGAGATATGGATTATAAATAACTTCATAATATTAAGCAATGGACAGCAACTATCATATATACAGAGTTGTTTATACAAAGAAAAATTTCAATACACCTTCTGTGAAATATATTCATGAATGCACGGGTCCCTAATGTGGTAAAATTGAATGAATAATTGCTTTGACTTTAGCCTAAATCTATGTCTATTGTCCATCTGCATGTTTGACAATGCAGGCTTCTTGCCAAAGTCTATCCCTCTGGCATAACTATTTATATCTGGCTTCATTAGCATATAAAGTTTGTCCATCATCTAATCATAATGCACACTTGATCTTATAGTACAGTTGAAAAGAAAGATCTGTACGAAAAACAATATTAGCTTAAATTACCAGTGCGTCCTACTATCTAGGTTGTCTTTTAATTTAATTGAAAGAATTAATATGAACTGTATGCTTACATTTGAAATTATTTTATTTCTCAGTTACCGTTTGACTGAAATCTGTATTGCATGAGAATATTACACATGTTTTTATATATATTTATCTTTTTCCCAGCTGTTAAGTGTTCAATTAGCATCCCAAAAGATTTCAAATCTACAAGTGATTCAAAGTAGCAGTCCATTGGATGCATTTATAAATGATGTAGTAGTACCTCTGATCAATCACAGGGTTATATCATTAAATGATTAATGCTCCTTCACTGCATTACATCATTAGAACATTTTAGAGGTATGTTAGTCTTGTTAGAGGTTTCGTTCGAATTCTTTAAACAAGAATAATTTCACCCTATCCCATCTCAAAATACAAAGTATTATGGTTTAATTAAATTTTATGGGAATAAAGTTTTGTGGTGTTGACAGAAATTTCAATTTTTATGATATGCACAATTGAACAACTACCTCTACCTTGTCCTACTCTGTAGTTAGTAAAATTTGTAGTTCCCAGGTCATCCAGTTCTATGTCTGGCCAACCATGAAAACAAAGATGGTGACAGCAATTGGGAGTATAAAATTTATTTGATTTGAAATTATGCAAGCCCCCCCCCCCCCCCCCCATTTATAGAGTTTTTTCTTCATTGGTACAAACTTTCAGATGTCAACTTACTAATGTGTACTTATTTTTAATTATCCGATTTTGTCCAGAACAGAATGAGCAAAACTGACCACCAACTATAATTATATAAACCTTTGATCTCTGACTTAAAGGGTTAGTTAAACATGCTTTATATGAAATATGTACACTGTTTTGAAATTTTAACTGTAAAGACAATTGAAAATCAATTTTAAGACACTTATACTTGACCAAAAACCATTTCTCCACATTACCATGATAACAAAGCTAGAAACTTACTATGATAGAATGTCTAAACACTTCAAAATACATTCCATAGTTATATATAAGCTTTCTCTCACATATAAGCTAATTCCGGCAGTGTAAACTTGACAGAAATTCCATAATACGACCTTTAACTTTTCACATGATCCATGTTTTCATTTGAACAGGGTAAGAAAAAAGTTTATTTAAACCTTTAAAGTACACACAATAGAGAAGGCCGTATATTTGTCTCTTGTCACACCATTCAAAACCCAGGAGTTATTTATCCATTACCTAAAAGTTGGAAAGAACTCAGTTAAGAAATAACTCCCTCTGTTCATGAAGTCACGAAAGCTCAGCATAAATTTTCATTCAGTGCAACAGGCTGATTTTCTGGGACTAAAGCATCAAGGGCCGAATTTGAACTGGTATCTAAATCCGTACTCTTATGACTTGTGGCACTTTAAAGACGAAGATAATTACCTCGTTTTCCATGCCAGAGTAGCTTATTTAATGACTTTCTGATCCATCAATATGTAATTTCATTTTTCATTCATATGAGGAAATGGAGACAGGGACAGAGAAGCTTCATTACGTATGTTACAAGAGCAAAATACTGGTGTTCGTTTCTTTGGCTCAGTGTTTCACATATTCTGTATTCTTTATTAAGCAGACTGAAAAATGTGCTTTTAAGATGTCTATTCAATATGTAATTAAATTAACCTTGTTCATAGAATATTAATCTAACTAATCAATGTTGAAATTCCATTATACCCCTTCCCCCTTACCACTGACAATTTCAATACCGGCCGGCCTGTCTTTGTTTGATGAGGGCCACAATGTATACTACAAAGTTATGTATAAACTTACTGTACTGACGGACCTAATTATTTTATTGCCATTGGCGCTCATTGACACTTATTTAGAAATTTGACCCCTAGCTTAAACAGAACTTCACGCTCGGTGTTTTTACAATAAAATTAAAGTAATGGTCTTATTTCAAAATGTGAATATATTCAGTGCAACAGGTATGAACAAGAAGCCAATTAAAAGCCTATCCTAAAATGTGTTTCATTGTTTTTTTATAACTTCTTTTATTTAAATGGCAACATTAAAACAAATCTTTATGACAGCTATTGACTGCAGAATGTAGATAAGCTATCATCTAGCAACATACATGTGAGCTAGATCAGCTATCATCTAGCAACATACATGTGAGCTAGATCAGCTAACATCTAGCAACATACATGGGAGCTAGATCAGCTAACATACAGCAACATATATGGGAGCTACAGCAACATATATGGGAGCTAGAGCAAATAATATCTAGCGACATAAGTGGGAGCTAGATCAGCAAACATCCAGCAACATATGTGGGAGCTAGATCAGCTAACATCTAGCAACATACATGGGAGCTAGATCAGTTAACATCTAGCAACATATATGGGAGCTAGAGCAAATAATATCTAGCGACATAAGTGGGAGCTAGATCAGCAAACATCCAGCAACATATGTGGGAGCTAGATCAGCTAACATCCAGCGACATGTGTGAGAGCTAGGTTAGCTAACACCCAGCAACATAAACATCCTGCAACATATGTGGGAGCAAAATAATTTAACATCTAGCAACATACAAGTATGTGGGAGCAAGCTCATTTTGTAAAAACTGCTATTACATCAAGTCATAAAATGAATGCTTTCCAAATATGCTGAATTTAGTTCCATGATAGCTATTACTCTGTGAAAAATTGACAGAATCCTATAAAATGTGGTCTTAATCTTTACCTCTCCTATATACCCTCCAGGGTTCTAATTTCAATCAAACGCCATGAAACTTTAGTTACAAAATAAAACAGAAAAAAGCAGAATTAGCCTGGGTTTCAAATCAATATGAAGAAAAAAAAGAGATCCCAATAGGAAAGAAAGAAATTCTACTGAACTGAACTTAAAGTGAAATAAATTAAATTCTTTCATGCAATATGCATTGTTCAAATTTTAAATCAAATTAATGAAGAGCTAAAATACATTTTTTTTTAAATAAAGTTAATGCAATATCTTTTTATTTGGAGACCTTTAAAAATTTGTTATAAAAGAATGTCAATTTTTTATTAATCTATACATGTCAGTTCACCATTGTAATATCTGTTAATTTGTTATAACAGAATTAGTTATAACCATTAATTTAAAAATAATTGTTTCCCTGGGGATTCCAAAAAGCTTTGCTATATTATTCCTGAATTCTCAATATATCTATTTCATTACAAATGAGAGAACTACATGTACAAGTATCGTTTTGACCTTGACCTTTGACCTCCTTTTCAAATATTAACCTTAACTATAATACCTTTTGTACCCCAAAGAATGAGCTTTTCATATATTGTTACAAGTGTATTAAAATAAAAATGATCTATCCAAATGTACTATGACTTTTTACTTCGTGACATATAAGTTTGGCCTACTTTTCATAGATTATTTTGAAAGGTGGGGGGTTACATGTTTCAACATCAAACCCAAACTTTTTTTCAGAACCAGAGTATACTTTGAAATTTCCCGAAGTTTTGACCACTCAATTATGTCCAAGTTACAGTACAACCCACATACGATGACCTTACCTGAAATCCTGAGTGCTGATTTTACTGGTGTTGGTCATGTTTGTAGTATTGGTCAGGGAATCTCCACTTCTGGCTGGGCTTCTGCAAGACAAGAAAAACGCTAAACAATTATAATTATACTGTTCCACTTCACACCTATTATATATACCAGTTTAGTCAGGTTACTGTTGGCAATTGATTTTTTGATTATCACTTCAAATCATATCTTCCCATTTACATCATGAAATTTCATATTCACCTCAGGTACTTAATTGCATCCTTCATGAAAATGGCATTAGAAATGGTGATGATTATTTAGGGCTTTTTCTATTGGCAATTTGTTCTCAAGATGTTGGAGAGAAAATTACTGAAGATATTGGGCCAAAGATCCCAATGATCTGAGGTCATCCAATAAAGTAAATTTGGTTGAAAGTAAATGTTGGTTGAAAGGAATATTTTTTTTCCTCTGACATTTTGCCTATTTTAATTTCCCTTTAAATTGATTGCTACCTTCTGCATTTTTTTGTTCCTGCTTTTATAAGGAAAAACACAAATATGTCATTTGTAGTATTTCCACTAACATTTAAAGTTTCAGAGAAAAACAGAAAACTTTGGTATCTCCAAAAAACAAATTAAAAAAAATAAATTAATCATAATGCTTTAATCCTATTCCAAGTCAATAAAGTAATCTTCAATGCAGAAAACAATTTTAATGTCAATGAAATTGCTTAATCTCTAATAGAAGGCCCCCATTGTATGAAATTGAATGATTGGCCTTGCCCCTGGGACCGACAAACTCCTGTTCATTGTGGCCTCTTGTGTTTCTAACAATATTGTGCCGAGTTACTGGAAATTCCTCTTCTGTGATTCAGCCCAAGATATACTATCTACCCTAAAGGTCAACTGGGCATGTTCTTCCGAATTTGGCCCCAGGGACAGAATTACGCATTCCTTGTTTGCATTTTTGAAGGAGACCATACACACTCTATTGTACTTAATGAAAATTTGCATACCAAATGGGTTGTAATCAGTTCTGGAATTTTAAAGTTACTACACTATTTGTCATCTAATTCTGTATGATATGCAATCATCAAGAGATCTTCATACATTGGGTTTTCTTTGAAGTTATACTAGTATCATTTACATGCATTGATTAGTACATCAGAAATTTTTGTAAAAAAGTCAAAAACAGCACTTTGGGACTTTAAATTGCTTCAACCTATCAGTTTTCAATAGTTTATTAGTTAAAGTTATTTAATTCTATTCATAAATTAAAATCACATACAAATAACAAACAATAATCTAGCAAAAAATGTGTAGCAGAAATTAACTGATATACAGTATTTCTGTTGTTACATAATAGTATTCTACTATATAGAGCAATATCAAATTTCTTTTTTAATCTGCTTATTGGTTAACATATATATGAAACTCACCCAAAGCTAAAAATAAAAGAAAAAAAAAAACTTTCAAGAAAGAAGAGGTAGATTAATATCCTTCCTGTGAAATCCTAGATGAAAATGATACGTACCCTCTGTTTGTATAGGAATACTGCCTGCTCTTTCTTGGTCTGCTGTTATATGACATGTGCTCAGATTCCGTGTCACTCCGGCTCTGAACGTAAGTGGTTTCTTCATCCTGATAGTACTGATCCCACTCCCTCCCAAAATCTCTATCCTTCAAGTCGTAACTTCCCCGATGATTGTGCGTATAAGAAGGCCTACGATCCTCCTCCTGATCGTAATACTGCTGTCTCTCTCGACTGCTGTCTTCACTGATCGTTCTATCCATTGAGTGTCGATCTCGGTTGCTCTCCTCGCTATACATTCTGTTACTTTCCTCACTGAAGGTCCTATCATACATCCGTCCTCGACTGGATGACTCTTCTTCACTAATCGTCCGACTCATCACCCTTCCTCCCGAGTAACTCCCATCCTCCTCACTGAAGCTCCGCTCGTTCAGTTTGGGACGTTCGTAGTCGTCGTACTCCTCTTGATCGTATTCGGATCCCTGTAAAGAGTAATCCTGATCCTGATCGTAATCTGGGTCATCCTGACTCCTTCTTTCGGAACAGTGCGTCAATTCTTCTTCATCGTAAGATTCGTTATCTGGCTCCGGGGATAAGTCCCGCTGATAAACATCGTGGCAATGATGATCGTTGTACGACTCCTCTTCGTCAAAACTTTCAAATCGGTCGAAAGATCCTCGCCGATCATCATCCATACCCCCTCCGTCAAATGAATCAAACTGTCCATTATAGTAGAAATCTCGACTAGGTTCATGGAGAGGAAACTGTCTGACGGACACATTGTGTTGGTGAGGAGGGGGGTAGCTATTGTCACTCTTATAATCACTATCTTCAGACATCCCAGCTGTCAAATTAATGTTACAAGTTATATATCATATGCAAAAAGAGATGCAAACAAATAATCAATTGTCTAATATGACAATACTTTATAAAGAAACCATTTTGAATAATTATTCTACTTGCAAACATGAAAAGTTCAGATGCTTCTTTTCCTTTATATAAATACTAGTAGAGGAATTACTGTAGGAATTATGTCCCTTTCCCTGTATAATCTGTCTACTTACATTGAGTGGAGTAGGTATTTTGGCGCTGTATGGTCATTAACTGCAAAATAACACACAAAATATCCCTTAACAACTAGATAATAGTGCTAGACATCTATCAACTTTACACAAAGCAATCACTATAAGGCTGTTAATCTTTCACATGGGTACCGGTATAAATATCAGGATACATTATCACATTTTAATTTGTTCTTGTTTCACTCATACTGAAATTCACATGAGAATATACATTTCATGACTTCAACAATATTGAATAACATTTACATATTATAGTATTTATATTACAACTTGAAGTTGAAACTGACAGTTACCATACTGGTAATCAATACTAAGTGTAAATCATTTTTAAATTGAAAAAATATCATCTTCCTGACAAGTATTAACTTTAACATTCAAGTATACATGACCAAGTTATGTAACCTTTTGTACTCTTGTGCCATGGATTAATAATTATGTCTTGATACATACCTCTAGAATCACAGTGTTGGAATTTAATAACAAGAGGCCCAGGGGCCACAGCGCTCACCTGAGCACATTGGCTTGGAAAAAGCACATATCAGATCAGAAATGAAAGTTTACGGGTGGGGGGGGGGGGGGGGCTTTCCCCCCAGGGGTTCATGAAACAAATTAGAATCTACACTACCTGAAGATGATTCTATATTAATATCACTAATCATAGCTTTGAAGTACTTGAAAAGATGATTTTAAAAGGTTTCCCTATAAATCCCTAAGTAAAACTTTGGTCGGCCATTTTGGCCTCACCATAGCCCCGGGGGTCATGATTTGAACAAACTTGAATTTACACTACCTGAGGATGATTCCACATGAGTTTCAGCTTTCCTGGCCCAGTGGTTCTGGAGAGGAAGATTTTTAAAGATTTTTCCTATATATTCCTATGTAAAACTTTGGTCGGCCATTTTGGCCCCACCCTAGCCCCGGGGGTCATGATTTGAACAAATTTGAATCTACACTACCTGAGGATGATTCCACATGAATTTCATCTTTCCTGGCCCAGTGGTTCTTGAGAAGAAGATTTTTAAAGATTTTTCCTATATATTCCTATGTAAAACTTGGGTCATTTTGGCCCCACCCTAGCCCCGGGGGTCATGATTTGAACAAACTTGAATCTACACTACCTGAGGATGATTCCACATGAGTTTCATCTTTCCTGGCCCAGTGGTTCTTGAGAAGAAGATTTTTAAAGATTTTTCCTATATATTCCTATGTAAAACTTGGGTCGGCCATTTTGGCCCCATCCTAGCCCCGGGGGGTCATGATTTGAACAAACTTGAATCTACACTACCTGAGGATGATTCCACATGAGTTTCATCTTTCCTGGCCCAGTGGTTCTTGAGAAGAAGATTTTTAAAGATTTTTCCTATTATTCCTATGTAAAACTTGGGTCGGCCATTTTGGCCCCATCCTAGCCCCGGGGGTCATGATTTGAACAAACTTGAATCTACACTACCTGAGGATGATTCCACATGAGTTTCATCTTTCCTGGCCCAGTGGTTCTTGAGAAGAAGATTTTTAAAGATTTTTCCTATATATTTCTATGTAAAACTTGGGTCGGCCATTTTGGCCCCACCCTAGCCCCGGGGGTCATGATTTGAACAAACTTGAATCTACACTACCTGAGGATGATTCCACATGAGTTTCATCTTTCCTGGCCCAGTGGTTCTTGATTTTTAAAGATTTTTCCTACTTATTTCTATGTAAAACTAGGGTCGGCCATTTTGGCCCCACCCTAGCCCCGGGGGGTCATGATTTGAACAAACTTGAATCTACACTACCTGAGGACGATTCCACATGAGTTTCATCTTTCCTGGCCCAGTGGTTCTTGAGAAGAAGATTTTTAAAGATTTTTCCTATATATTTCTATGTAAAACTTGGGTCGGCCATTTTGGCCCCACCCTAGCCCCGGGGGTCATGATTTGAACAAACTTGAATCTACACTACCTGAGGATGATTCCACATGAGTTTCATCTTTCCTGGCCCAGTGGTTCTTGAGAAGAAGATTTTTAAAGATTTTTCCTACATATTTCTATGTAAAACTTTTTTTGGCCCCACCCTAGCCCCGGGGGTCATGATTTGAACAAACTTGAATCTACACTACCTGAGGATGATTCCACATGAGTTTCATCTTTCCTGGCCCAGTGGTTCTTGAGAAGAAGATTTTTTAAAAATGCCATTAATTTTTCTCTAATTCATAATTATCTCCCCTTGGAAAAGGGCGTGGCCCTTCATTTGAACAAACTTGAATCCCCTTTACCCAAGGATGCTTTGTGGCAAGTTTGGTTGAAATTGGCCCAGCGGTTCTTGAGAAGAAGTTGAAAATGTGAAAAGTTTACGGACAGACAGACGGACAGACGGACGCCGGACAAAATGTGATCAGAAAAGCTCACTTGAGCCTTCGGCTCAGGTGAGCTAAAAACTTTAGAATGGAGGACTCAACACTTTACTATCTAGTCACTAATACTTTACTGAAACTGATTGACATATGCTTCTTGGTATCTAGTATTGAGAATTTATCACATATCTCTTGGTCTACCTACTCAGTCTATAGTGTTCAGGACTTCACACATACCTCTTGATCTGTTGTGTTGAGGACTAAACGCATACCTCTTGATCCATAGTTTTGAGGATTGAGGATTAATGCATACCTCTTGGTCTAAAGTGTTGAGGATTGAGGACTTAACGCATACCTCTTGGTCTATAGTGTTGAGGATTGAGGACTTAACGCATACCTCTTGGTCTAAAGTGTTGAGGATTGAGGACTTAACGCATAACTCTTTAGTGTTAAGGATTGAGGACTTAAGTGACATACCTCTTGGTCTATAGTATTGAGGATTGAGGACTTAAGTGACATACCTCTTGGTCTATAGTGTTGAGGATTGAGGACCTAACACATACCTCTTGGTCTATAGTGTTGAGGATTGAGGACCTAACACATACCTCTTGGTCTATAGTTTTGGGGATCAAGGACTTAACACATACCTCTTGGTCTAAAGTGTTGAGGATTGAGGACTTAACACATACCTCTTGGTCTATAGTGTTGAGGATTGAGGACTTAGCACATTACCTCTGGGTCTATAGTGTTGAGAATCGAGGTCCTAAGACATACCTCTTGGTCTATAGTGTTGAGGATTGAGGACCTATCACATACCTCTTGGTCTATAGTGTTTAGAATTGAAGATTTAACTGACATACTCTTGGTCTATAGTTTTGGGAATCGAGGACTTAACACATACCTCTTTGTCTAAAGCGTTGAGGATTGAGGACCTAAAACATACCTCTTGGTCTATAGAGTTGAGGATTGAGGACCTATATAACGCATACCTCTTGGTCTATAGTGTTGAGTATTGAGGACCTATATAACGCATACCTCTTGGTCTATAGTGTTGTGGATTGAGGACCTATATAACGCATACCTCTTGGTCTATAGTGTTGAGGATTGATGACATAACACATACCTCTTGGTCTATAGAGTTGAGGATTGAGGACCTATATAACACATACCTCTTGGTCTATAGAGTTGAGGATTAAGGACCTAACACATACCTCTTGGTCTATAGTGTTGAGGATTGAGGACTTAGCACATACCTCTTGGTCTATAGTGTTGAGGATTGAGGACTTAATGCATACCTCTTGGTCTATAGTGTTGAGGATTGAGGACCTAACACATACCTCTTGGTCTATAGTGTTGAGGATTGAGGACCTATATAACACATACCTCTTGGTCTATAGTGTTGAGGATTGAGGACTTATCACATACCTCTTGGTCTATAGTGTTGAGGATTGAGGACTTAATGCATACCTCTTGGTCTATAGTGTTGAGGACTTAACGCATACCTCTTGGTCTATAGTGTTGAGGACTTAACGCATACCTCTTGGTCTATAGTGTTGAGGATTGAGGACCTAACACATAACTCTTGGTCTATAGTGTTGAGGATTGAGGACTTATCACATACCTCTTGGTCTATAGTGTTGAGGATTGAGGACTTAAGTGACATACCTCTTGGTCTATAGTGTTGAGGATTAAGGACTTAACACATACCTCTTGGTCTATAGTGTTGAGGACTTTTAGTTTATTCTCCAGCTCAGCAGCTTCAGCCTCTGGGAGATCTTCAAGTAAAAAAAAATTAAGAATCAAACATAAATAAATTATTCAGTTATTATCAATTTCTATTTTTTTTTAAAAAATTCAATGTGCAGTAACATAAAAACTACAGTACACTTGATACTACAGTTGAAACAATTCTGACTCTGTGTCCATTATTTTTTCCATAATACATGTATCATTTTTGAAGTCTTTCACCCTTGTAAATTGAAATTATACTGATTCCACAATAGCAATGCAATTTTCTACGTTCTTTTTTTCAGTGAGGGTCTAACATAACTGTCTTTCTATCCCCTTTCAATTTTTAGTTACATAACAGTCATACACTTCAAAATCAGAAATGTTACATTTATCTGAAAAATTACACATCACTTAACTTCCTCCAAAAACATTATATGCATCAAACATTAAAATATTAATCACTTGCAACTTACCCTGAGAATTCAGACCATTATTTTGTTCTATAAAAACTGAATTTAAATCATTATTGATTAAAAGGAAATTCAAACTGGTTTTCTAAAAAATTTGTCAGGCCATAAATATTTCTGTATCAATAATGCATGGGATGTTGATTGGAACAATCTTATATTAATGCACCTGTTTATATGAATAAGTCTCATATTAACTATAATAGCTATGGGAATCACATTTATGAAAATTGATGTCAATATTTTTATATTTAGCTTCGTGTGGAAGGGGTTAATAGGTTTATAATGTAAAATCATTATTTTTAACATCCTTAAATGGACAATAGAGATAATCTGTATAAGCAGATATATTGTGATTTTATTGATGTCACAGGAGAAAATGAATAATTTACATGTAGACAAAAACATAAAGATGTAATGTCATCCTTAAAGCTCAATCAAGATAGACTAAGATTATAAGTAATAAGGTAAGAGGGGGGGAAAACAGAATTTGATCAAAGCAATGTATTTTTTTATGCTCTGTTGCATTTTTATTGAAACCTGTGTCTAAACAGTGTTTTTTAAAAAGTTTTACAAACAAGTAAATGTTCAAACAGCTATCAAAAATTACAATAACTAACTCCTCCTCTTAAAAACCATAACCTCCAATATAAGAAATCTGAAATCAATACATGCATGAAACAACTAATTTAAAAGGTAATTTTTCTAAAATATCCATTTTACTTTAACCTCAAAGTGTCTCCGGAAAGGTCATGAAAAATATGCCAAAGGTTGCATTTATACATGTTCAATAGAACCTAACTCAATACCCCCCTCTAGCTTGTATATATTAGACCTGATTGTACTACACAAAAGAAAACATCAACAGCATGTTGATAAACTTCTATCATCCTTGGCTAATGAAACAGAAATCCAGTCTAGACAAGCAGTCAAGCAATCAGACTTAGTTTCATTGATTACCATGTTCAACTTTATCCCTTGTTGGTCTTAAGGGACAATGCTTAAATGGAAATTTATGCATACATATCTAACCCAATTCCATCTGTGGGCATTATATAGCAAATATTATAAAAAAAAAAAAAAAAACAATCTTTTTTTTAAAATGACTAAAAGGGACCACAGAGAATGTTCTGTTTTTTCTCAACTACATTCTGTAATGTTTTCTATGGGAATCTGGTCAAACTCAAATGGTCCCTGCAGAAAATTGTACGCAAGCATCTCAAACATTAATTGCCCATTCTAAGGGAGTTTATCTGGGGATCTCAATGACCCACTCAATATAGACCTATATGTCAAGAAAATTTTTGACTTTCAGGGAAATTTTGTCATATTGCTAAGAAAATGCATGAAATAAAGCTTTTAAATTATGTAAATTAATTCATTTAATTGGCAACTTTCATAATTACTATTGATAACCTATATCTGTGCTATAACTAAGTAGATTGTTGATGGCTTAATTATTGCATATGTATAAAAGAATTAAGGAAATTTTTAAATAAAGTTTTTAATTTTACTTTTAATTTTAGCTCTTCAAATTCTTTGAAAAACTTGAAATTCAGAAATATGTCCGTGTTTCCAATTTGATCTCTTTATAATTAAGAAAACAAATATCAGTATTTATGCTCATAGCATATGCACCCTAAGCAATTCCAGTTGTGGAAGATGCATGTATTAATGGGATTTTTTTTTAACACAGACCCCCCCCCCCCTTAACCTTAATTGTATAAATACACCCTGTCTCAATAAAGTATTTATCAGAGACATGAAACATTCAGTTCTTTCATTTCTATAACCCCCTTTCCCTTCCTTTTTCTTCATTTTGCTCTGAAAAAAAGGTCCATATCTCCTTTCATTCTCTGCTTATCTTTTCCCATTCTGTCTGATTACAGACTCTAAATGATGGCATCCTGTTCTTGAAAGGAACTTGTTTCAATACATTAACAGAAATCTGTAAGAGTACACAATACCAACTTTCCACAGATGATCATTATAACTTAATCCTAATTGCTTTTTTATGAATTACTGCATCTGATGAAAAAATGAAAGAGTTTACCAAGAATTTTCAGATCAATATTTTACCATTTGCTGACCTACATATAGGGCACCAATGAAAGCTGGGGGAAAAAATTTGCATTTCATCAGAGAGAGAAAAAGTTCTATAGTTTATTTTTCTCCCGATTTCTTTTTCCCATGACAGTCATGAATCTGTCTTGCACAGTTTGTTATGAAATTACAAGCATCAAAATAAAGCCTTTTTTTGCTCAGTAAATTTATGAAGAAAAAAAAAAATCCTTCGTCTTCCTAAATATGGATGGTATATTATTTTGTATGGTTCATTGGGGGACTCCAAGACAATAATGAATTACAAGGTCAATACTTCATTCCAAGAATAATTCAACCTTAAGGCACTAACTACTAAGTGCAGACTAATACATGAAAATGCACTATACAGGGAAATGTAGATATGTACTATCTTTAATGATGATTGCATTCAATCGATTTTGACATCTGCAAGTGGTATGATCTGTCTTTGAATACTAGACCATTTACCTATAATATCACTAAAAGTTCAATCAGCAATACAGCTCTAAATTCAGGCTGTATGTTTAATTAAAACTAAATTTAAATATACCTAATAATGTGATTTTTTATGTAAAAAATGAGGATGAATGTAGAAATGTTGCATAATATCCCCAAAAATATAGAAAGTGATGCATCTAACAACATATCATGTTATGAAATCATACAACGGACACTTTAGAAGGTGGCTGAAAACTCCATTTAGATCTTATATAACTGTCAGGAAAAAAGCTTAAAAATTAGATCTAATGTAACATTTTATTCTTCTAATCAACATAAGTATCTAATATCCAAAATTGTATAGGCCAGATTGTCATATTTATTAATTTGGGGGGATGGGGTAGTATTACACTACAAAAGTGGCAATTATCTATTGAAGCCATGCAATAGGCATGAATTTAAAATTATCATAATGTGGTTGAAAATTTAGTTGAAAATTTTAATTGTAAGCTGGGCAATTATTATTTAGACAAATTTAAGCTCAACACAACTTGTAAATATAAACCATATTATATTTCTTTTCTTTCTATATCAGCACTGGGGTATATAAATCTTTCCTATTTGTTACACCTGGTTGCTTTAAACTTATAACTGCTCTGTGTAGTATAACTCAGTATCAATTATCCTTTTTGAATCTGTGCAGTTTATTTATGATTTTCCCAAAAAATATAACCTTATTATTTTTAAAAAAAATTACCATAAGGTAATTCAAATCTGGCATCTAGAAGTACTGTGTGGCACGGTGGGGAACCTTGTTCCTGTGATTTTGCCGCTTCTCATTATCAGCTCACTGTCCAAGGACAACCACCTTCCTTCTCCTTCCTGAAATGTAAGAACATCTGTAACTAGTGCTAATTGTAACGGGAGAAGAAGATTTTCAAAGAAAACGCTCCCCAACTCCCTTTTGGTGCCATATTCCCTGTAAGCTTCATTAAATAAGACAAACTCTATGCATCTGAGATTTTAACAACATTTACAAAGAAGTGTACAAAAATCATTTAAACTTTAGCATTTCACGCGTGCACATGTGAATGCATTTGCGTCATGACCTTATCATCTTGTCTGCACAATCTATATTTTATTACACTGAGTATTAAAGTATTTAATCCAAAATTATTAATAAAATACGCTCATTCAAGTGTATGTTTGATTTTACTCATTTCGTTAGAAGTCAACATTACATCTATCGATGTTCTAAATTAAACCCCGTTTGGGTGAAAATCAACAACAAATGAACTAAGAGAGTCATAGCTATTTAAAGTTTCAGCCAATCAGATTGCAGCACTTGTTCACACACGTGTATGTATGTGCATGGTGAGCATACCTACTTGTAGAAGTCCATTATATCTATCTATGTTCCAAATATAATGGCCCATCCTGTTTGGTTGAAAACCAAGGGAGATATAGCTGTTTAAAGTTCCAGCCAATCAGATTGCAGCGCACGTGCATGCACGTGTTTTCATGATAATTGCTTTATTTCTTGTTGTAGGATATCCTAATACATGGCTATGTTCAAAATTTCAAAGGATTTCGTCAAAAAACACAGAAAGATATTGAGACTTTAGTTTCAGCCAATCAGAGCGAAGTGCACGTGCATGCGCGTGAGATCTTGCTATTTTCACCATGTCGTCATGTCTATACTACTAATATATCCTCACATTATGAGTTTCAAAGCATTTCATCCAAAAATAGAACAGTTGTGGCTATATCTATTATATTGGTCATTTCACGTGACGTGTTGCACGTGCACGCTCTTGCAAGCACGTGCGCGCAAAATGACCTTGATTCCGCAAATCTACATAACATGTCTACTAACCCTAAAAAGGTTTTACCTACATCGGACGAATAGTTTACAAGATCATTCCCGGACAAAAAAATATATTTCAGGAAGAAGAAGAAAAATAATAATAATAATAATAATAATAAGAAACAGAGTAAAAACATTTTTATGTTCCCCAACTTCGTTTGATTTTAATAGGGAACATAATTAAAAATCAACAACAAATGTAATGTAATGTCTTATGTCAAAAAAACCCCAAATAGATGTACTGGGGTGAGCTTACAGAATGAAACCACTACCACAATCTTCTGTAAATTGCTGGATTCAATGTTTCTACTTTAGACAGTTACAGAACCAACATAAATTATACATTTTTTTCTGCTATTGATCCCGAACTTGTCTTAGTGCCCTTGAATTAATGTGTATGTAAAACATTTTTAGGACATAGTAAAACATTTTTAGGACCAATATGTGTCAATTACAATATAATAGCTTCCAAATCTTTTCACTAACCAGAATATGGCCAGGACAGGAATTAAGCATATGTGTCTAAATGTGACCTTGAACTTGTACAGATGACCTTGAATCATGACAGAGACCCTCTGGTCATAATTAATGTGTATGTGTTAAGTGTGAACTTCCAATGATTCTCCACTAAAAAAATCATTGACCAGCTAAGATAAATCATATACTTTTTCTGTCAGTAATCTTGAACTTGCCAAAATTACCTTGGGTCAAGGTCACAAGATATTTCAGGTTACAATGAAACTTGCACAAATATGTATCAATGTGTGTGAACTTGATTAAAATATCATGAACCGCTGAACTCAATGTATTATGAAAAGTCAGAAGGACTGGGAAAGACTGAAGACAAACAATACAAACTCGATCTACATCCCACATTAATTAATGTGGAACATGAAAAGAAAATTCCAAAGGCATTGAACTAAATAAATCAGTTAATAAAATTCTTTCTGGACAGGCAAAGTTGATATCTAAATAATTCAGTGAACACCCACACATTGATGGCTGAAGACCCTTATAATGCTACTTAAACAATTTGATACCAAGTGGGCAGTATGGAAAGTGGAAAAATGTGTCAACTTTTGGACAGACTATGACATTTTTATATTGTTTTCATAACATGGGATAGACACTTTTTATGGATATAAATTTAAATTTTTACAAAAAAAGAACTTTGCGCGTAATGGCCTAATTATAAAGATATTTCCTCTTATTTCCTATACATAAGAGTTCACTGAGTAAGTAAATTTACCGGAAAGGGGTGCCCATAAAAATTTAAGAAATTTAACCCCCCATCCCCCATCAAAAAAAAATTTAAGTATATCTTTAAAAGTCTGCTATTGTTGTTGTATAGAGAAAAAAAATATTCTTAATAGTTTGTATTCATGGAGCAGTGGTTCGAGTACTATTTGCTCTAGAGTTGAAGAGTAAGGAGTTGATCTTCTGTTGCCGGTTTGAATCCCACTGCAGGACTTAGTCCTTGGGATATCACCATATAAACTGAGTTCTGTGACACAGTAGGTGCTGGCACAATTAAAAAAAACATCCTGCACTGCTTAATGGCCCTGAGTGCAGAATTTTAATTTTGTAGCCCTCATGGCATCTCAATATGGGTGAAAATTTCTCAAAAGGGATGTTGAACAAACAAACAAGTAGGGATGTGCGATTTTATCGGTATACCGGTATATCGCGATTTTTTGTTGCGCGATACGTATCGTGATACGGAGACCTAAATACCGGTCTTAAGGTACATATTATTAAGTCTAGAAATTATTCATTTATTTGTTCAATCTTTCAAATTACAATTACAGAAAGTATAAAAAATGTTGTAAAAAGTGAAAAGAACGGCATTTTACCGTCCAAACATAATTGACTTTATATACATAAAATTTTCAAGAAAGTAAAATTTTGTTTTTCTAGCATATTTTTTTAGAAAAATAATGACTTTTCAAGTAAAAACATTGTAAAAACTGCTTTTAAAAATATCATGATATTATCGTGATATTGTGGGAAAAAATCATGATATATCGCGATACGAAATATTTGGCGATACCCATCCCTACAAACAAGTTAACTAAAGAGTGGAGTGGCGTTAGATATATAAATATTTTGATGAATCTATGATACAGTACAGTCGAACAAGTTAATCAAATGATTGATTGAATCAATCCCATGGTCCATTAAACTGGTTAAGTTTGGGTCTAGTAATATTCATCAATTCATTAATTACCAGTGACATTGGCTTGGATATGTCAGAAATGGAACCTAATTCCAATTAACCAGACTCTATAGTGGGTATAGTTGCATTCAGACCCACACCATCAGTTCTGTATTCATCATTACTGCCAATGGCTAGACATACTCTTTAAGAGCTAGAACAGCTAAAGGAAAAAAAAATCTATTTAGAGGTTGCAGGCAAAAAACCTCGTAAGAGTTTTGTCTTCCTTATATTTTTTTTCTGGTGCCTTCTAAATATGGCTAAAGAGGATCAATACATGTATAGCCTGGGTCTGTGAAGCAAAAGTAAAGTGTCACCAAGCATGGGAGATTCTCCTCCATCTACAGTCCCCCGGGAATCCCCTTCTAAGAATCAATTGTCATTTAACTATTCTATATTCTGATAAGGAAACAATAATCTGGCAATAAATACTGCACCCATTTGCATATCAGGCATATCCCATCTCTATTTAGTGGCAAAATGATAGGAAGATAAAGTGAGCGGGTTTCACTGCTGATGGATGGTTCACACATTTATCACCCAGGACTTAAAGGCCCCCAAAACCTGCAGCAGATCTTATATCACCCTTCTAGGTAGTTTATCACTCTGTTGAATGCCTTTGATTTTATATGAAGCAAGTTTGGGATCATTTTACAATCAATAGTCTAAAAACTTCCCCCAAGACATATTGCTAAGACAAAGACTGAACGTCCTCTAAATGGCAGAAAATATTGATAGATGTATACCTGACTGGATTGGATTACCTCAGAAAATCGCATTATCCTATCCTGATTTACAATTACAGTCAAAATTAAACGTGAATTAATGCTAAGTACAGATCTACTGCCTTCAAGAAACCTGTGGCCTGTGGGTCACACTGCTCACCTGAGGGATGACAAGTCGTACAGCTGTAAATGGTCAATTGGGGATAAACTATAAACATGATAAAAGACAGTGCAAAATAAACAAGAACCTGCTCTGGTAAAAACAAGATATTTCATTCATGAAGTCAGATTAGTACACCCTGGCTATAAATTTATAATTATACAAGAATTATCAGAATTCAGGAAAATTTTGTCTTGCTAATAATTACCAAAATAAATATCCGCGAAAAAAAAAAGGAGTTTGGAAAATCAAACTATCCATATTAAAACATTCATTCCAAATGTTAAACAATTATGCATAGAATCTCTAGAAATTCTACGAAAATTGGACTTAAAATATTGTGTTGTTTTTTTTTTATCTGTGGAAGGATCCATACAATGGTAAATCATTAACGGACTGCATTTATACGGTATTACGGTTCATCACTAAAACAGTTAGAACCCCTGATTAAATCCAGCATGTCTGGAAAACTCTTCACTAGGAGCTGTTCATGTCAGCACAGTACTCGGTGTTTAATGAGAATTAAGTGCTGTTTTTACGGATTATTCCCGGCAAAGTTATGACCTTTCACTGGGCTTCCTCAATACATCTGTCTCCCCTCCACTTTAGCCAAGGAAATTTTTCTAGAGCTTGGTCAACATAAGAAACTTTTATACCCTAGCTTCAAGTTTCCATTTATTTGTTGTTTTGACGGGATCAGGAATATCAGTCTTGGATAAATCTTTTTATCCGCACATGCTTTTCCGGCAGGTGTATCCACTCATTACACTAGTCTGAACAAATATTCACTTGCTCAGAATTTTATTAATTTTCATTAGCTTCTTTATGCCAAGGAACATACCATTTTACTGAGTACATCTATTGACATGCCATTGTTTTCCACTTGTACCTCTTTGAAATTGTTCTACAGTAGAACATGTTGAATAACTTGTGATTAAAAATTCTATGCTTCACTATGAATAAATAAAGCATATTTACACTTTAAGTATGTACGTATGATGTTATATATGTTTTGTTTTTTTTTAAGTCAGGTGTGCACATCTGTGCATTGGGTTCATTACTCCTGTTGGACCCCTGATATACCCTCCTTGATCAGTTCTTTGATGAATTTTTTTTAGTTGATTTAGTTGAAAACAAAAAATATATTGATATTTGTGACAATTAAAGTATGTTTCAGATTAACATATAGATTAAAGAGAAAGTTATTTTGATTATTTGAAATAGTATTTTTAAAATATCTAAAATCTAAACTGACCTTGATCTTTAGAAGCATAAATTCAAGTCAAGGTCATTTCTAAACTTTACATAAATCAATTTTTAACAAGTTATTATGAATATCAAAGGATTTTAAAAAGATAATTTCCATTCAATCAGTAACTGTAAGAAAGTATATAACCTTGATCTAATATGTGTCCTATAAGAAAACAGTATACAAGCTGATAATTAAATAAAACTGTGTACTTAGCTAGCGTTATCAATTACTACAAACAAATCAAGGAAGAAATGACAAAATCTTTTTTTTTGTATCTTTCATATGTTCAAACAATTTTTGGGATGCTGTAAGAATCGCAAAGCCTTGAATGGGGGAGATGAAGTACTTACGGAGTTTGAGTGATGGATGTCTCTCAATGGTAACCAATGAAGACCCAACAGTTTGTCCCATAACATGCCTTTATTCCAAATCTCTATGATCAGACCAGTGTCCAGGCAATTTGTTTCACTGTAAACAAAATTAATACAAAAATAATTAGTACAATATAATTCAACATTCAATTAACCCAGTTAATTTTTAAGATGTTTTATTTATGGTGGCCATTTTATCTAAGATATTTTCTGAGGTTTTAGAAACTTGCTTAAGATTTTTTTTTTTTTACTTTTTGAGGGGAAATGTTTTAAAGATATTTATCAGTTTCAGTTTCCAAGAAGAAGGTAGAGTTTCAAAACAAATCTGAACATGTTTCAGCATCATCATTCAGACTCTTCTTTTCATGTTTTGCAAAATTTTCACATTTTGACTTCTTTTCCAGAACCACTGGCCAATTTCAACTCAACTTGCAAAAACATCTTTGGTTGAAGTGGACTTGTGTATATACCACATCCTCTTTTAAGGGGAGATAATTATGAATTTGTATAAATTTGAATGTATCTTTTTAGTGTGGAGCCTTAATATGTGATCAAAGTTTTACACAAGAAAATGCAGCTGAGGAAGAAAATGCTGCTGAAGATCAGAAGAGTTAATAATTACTGAGGTGAGTGCAGTGGCCAATATGGCCTCTTGTTTTTCTTGTACGACCTTTTAAATGCCAATCATGATGTCATAAACTTGTCCACTTTCTTTATTTCCTTAAAAAATTGTAAAAGACGTCAATTTCAGTTGAATGTCCTCCTGATAATAAGGCCTACATGCATCATCCAAAAAGATTTTATGAAATGTGATTTTTTTTTAATATATATATATATATATATATATATATATATATATATATATATATATATATATATATATATATATATATATTAGGGATGTCAACGAGTACCCGGTTAACCGGGTACTCGATCGAACGTCCGAGTATCGAATACTAAAATCGGTACTCGGTTACTCGGATGTATATTTTTGAATATTTCTAAGCTTATTTATTAATGCATTAAACAATCTGTTTTAAAACGTAAAATACTCATTGCACTTGTACATACAGTAATTAGGGTTTCCTACTCCTCTAAATGACCGTTATCGCCCGAGGCAGTGTTTATACAGTAATTATCGTGACCAAACACCTGTTACCTGGCTTTTCTCACCTTCGGCTGTCTTCTACCCTTATTTTTTGATTTTCTTTTATTATTTGTTTTCACTGCACATCGTTTAAGGTCTGTTATGATTAAATAAATTAGATAATTTTGTCAATTCTCCGAGAAGCCGTAAATTCTCGGATAAAAAGAGACAGGTGATATTACACGCGCGACTGTTGATATGGTTGTGTTTGATTACATGCCAATACATGTACAAATAGTTGAAGGCAAAGGCTTTAAAAAACTTATGTCCATCGTTGCACTAAACTACGTGATACGTGATACTATAAAATCTAGGATCGAGAAGTATACGAAAATCGTAAATCGGCTCTGTTAGAACTTGGTCAAGTTCAAGTCAAACTGTATATATACCTTGACGTCAAATGCAACAAAAAGTTACATTACAATAACGGAGTAGATTATTTTTTTTAAACAAAATCACCATGAACCACTTACGATTTTATTTCTTGTGTTTATCTGATAAATAAATTGAACTTAAAAAAATGTATTAAATTTCGTCGGGCACGAAGTTCTCATCATTGTTACAACAGAAAATAAATGCATTTACATGTAAACCTCCTATCAGAGCTTGTGGTTTTATTTCTACAAGTGTTTACAATGGCTTACATTCATCAATTTACTTGTTCATAAATCATTTACACTTTTACCGAGTACCCGGGTACTCGATCGGAAAAACGTCCGAGTAACCGAGTATTAAAAATTGACCGATTTGACATCCCTAATATATATATATATATATATATATATATATATATATATATATATATATATATGTAATATATATATACGTATATATTAAACATTATATCCACATTTTGAATTGGGCAATAGCTATGGACACTATTTGAAGATAAATTACTTCTTTTTTGAAAGTCTGCTCCATGCAGTGACAAGCCTAAATTTACCTTAACTCATCCTTATAATTTTTAAAAGATGGCATATAGATTGCATGAGGGTTATTAAGGGCTAAAGTGATGAAGAATTTGATATAAGCTTACAAACTTAATGGAGAACAAAAAGACAGAAAGCAACAGACCATTCTTAGATTATAAAGACCTAACCAAATAAAATATCTGGGTCAAGCTCAAAACCAATGACACATATGCTATGACCTTCATGAATTATCCAGACTGAACACTTCTTCTACCAATAAAACCCTCCATTTACATAATTTCATTCCCAAAAGGGAACTAAAAACTGCACTGAATGCTGGTTGGATAGAGAATCTACACATTGCTTCTAATGTTACAAGGAACGGGTGTGAAAAAAGCATTGCAAACTTCATTTACAAAAGAAACTGGTCTTGATACCAGAGTTTCCGAAAACCAAATATTTCTATCAGTCATTTGGACTGATGACTTAATGTGTTCTACCAGTCCGAAGCATATTCTATCAGTCCGAATAAATTTTAAAATATACAGTGTATTTCTCATGTCAAATGTAATTCAAAGAAAATGGCATTGAATATATGTAAAAAAAATTGTGGCTCACAAACACTGATTGTGATACCAGGCCCCGGGATCATGAAACAGGCTTAGACTTAAGTCAAAATTTCAAATTACTATAAAATCTTTAAAACTTGTTAAAGGAAACTCATAATTTGCATACAACAGTAGACAGATGATACAAAATCGGAGAGCATTTTCATTTTGGGCTGCTTGACCTCTAAAAAATTTCAGCATCTAAGACATTTTTTGACTTAAGCTTAAGATGCTTCATGATCCCGGGGCCAGGGTTATAAAATGCAACTATAATTAATTCAAGCATAGCACCACAGGCTTGTGGCAGCAATAAAGACACTAGCCCCAAGTAAATATTGGGAGAAAAAAACAACCAATTATCAAAAAGTTAATTCTTGAAAAAGAAAACTTAATTCTCAAGGTTTCTAGAATTTTTTTTAAATTTAAAGTTTAATTCTGACTTGTAAAATTGAATCATATTTATAAATAGCAGTAGAAATTCAAAATGAAAATAAATTTTAAATTATCTTTACGTTTTCTCGGTGGGCATTGCACTTCATGACCTATAAACTGCATGTGTTTACCAATAACAGAGTAATGGAGGAAATTCGGATTAGGAAAAAAACGATCGTTTTTGGAAGTAAATAAGTCAAGTAGAACTGCAAAATGGATAAGATAATGGATATTTACGAAGAATAGGAGCTTGTTGCATTGAAAATTTTCATTTATGAAGATACTGCAATAGATTGGAGTACAATAAATTAATCAGGACAAGCCCTCACCACAATCGGTCACACGGACCGATACTGTAGCGAATTTCATCGGACATTTCGATTTTCTATCGGTTTTGCCGATAGGACCGATAGTTTTCGGAAACTCTGTGATACTAAGACTCTTTTTTTATTTTAAATTAGTACAAGGATCCATCTTTAATACAAGATCATAATTACAAGATGTTTAATGTTATAATAACTTATTACTAAAATGACAATTATACATTGACAAAAATAAGCAATATTGCTCTGAGACACTTTAATTTTGTTTTAATAGAAATTTTTTTGCACTATTTTATACAATGCCAACAATAAGAACAACTGGGATGGACAGCCTTAAACTTAAGGGGACTCTTGAGTATTACATGCATATCATTTTGGGAAGCAATTCATTAAGAGATAGCAAACTCCTTTGTTGAACATTTTTATGGCACTGTTTTTAGTTGATGAATTACAATACTGGTCAAAAAACCTGTAGGTGATTAATTTAGACTGAATCTACAGCAACATTAAAAGAAGTTCTTAAGGTACTCCGATCCTCAGTCAGGAATTTAATTTAATTACAGTCAATTCTCGAATTATCGCCATTCGATTCATCGCCATTTTCGCAATACCGCCATGATTTCCCAAGAACGTTTTTCCTGCTATATAAAATTCTCTTTATAACGCCAAATTCGCATACCGCCATCCGCCACCCTGTTTTCAAAACAAACGTCCATTTTTAAGTGTCAATTATCTCGATATACCGCCACAGGTGCGTGCGGTCAGTGAAGCGCGGCTAATTGGTTGACGCTATCCCTGTTGTAAAGCATACAAAGCCAGACAAGGTACACACAATTAAATAATTAAATTAGAATTAAATGAACAAATAATTTTAATATGAACTGTAACAATGATTTTGTTCTGTTGTTTTGTTTAAAAAATCATTTAGTCAGGCTTCGCCACGAAAGCGGTAGTTGTGAAAGTACGCCGAATACGATATTATTTTGATGATCTCGATCTGCAAAGTTTGCTGAAAAATGATTATACGGTATAAATTGTGAACGTTTCACGAACAATGATGCCATAAACAATAAATTTATTCAAGAAACTATTTTACGTACTGTCAGCAATATATCACGACGATCGACCCAGCATGTTTTTTTTCAATATCAGACGTGCCGATTTACAAGTACATAAATGCACATGTACATGTCTTTATTTCATAACATGAAGAAATTGTACATAAAAAATACTTGAAGTATTTTAAAATTTAGAAATATGTTTTGTATACATGTACATGTAATTATATGAATAGAAACGCTTTATGGTATTTCTAAGAACGGTAACTCTACTTCGTGTTTCCTAAAATATGGGAAATTCAAATCATCGCCAAATTCGTTATACCGCCATGATTTCTAAATTACAAAAGGTGGCGGTTTATCGAGAATTAACTGTACTTCAATGTCTGATGAGTTTTTTAACTTCTATGTTATATCACAATCTAAAAGTGCATGATTCTCCAAGATTCTTTTGGAATCTTTAACTGATCTTGCTTACCATAACTGACAAATGTGAGCAAAATCATCCCAATTCATTTTTTTTTTCTGGAAAAGGGGTATACGGTGTGGAAGAGGGGTAGCATACCTAAAAATTCTTTACAGGTTTTAGCAGATCATATATCAACTAGTTGATAATGC